TTGAACAAAAATTATGAATTTTTACTGAATTTTGAATCTACAAATAGGTGGAATACGCAGCAGGCGTTGTTATGAGCTGCCGCACTAAGTCGCTGTGCGTTTATGGTGCATGAATGCGACAAAATATGCAGGACCTACCATAAGCTTTAAATCCATTCACCAGTTCCGAATTATAATGAAATTACTTCGCACCAAAATAATAAAGACAGTCTCTATTTCTAAGCAAGGCAACACAGGAGAGTTGAAATCTGGTTTTCTTTAACCTGTATTATATTTTGGGCTGGGTTCGAAAATCTCGCATTTGTAGAGCGCCTGATTAAGAAGTCTTAGTTTAGACGCTTCTGATCCTTTTTCTCCCTTCCTTTCTTCTTCCCCGCTCCGCCCTCCCCGTCTCCTTAGCACCTTTCCAGTTAATCAGACAAAAAAAAAAAACGATTCCAAAAAATTTATTAAAGTTGGAACCTCTCTGCAATGTGCTGGCGCTCTGTACTGATTCAAGTGCGTCTCTACAGGTAACTGGCACAATCCTGAAACGAGAAGTCGCCGAGCCACGCTTACAGCTGCATGCACCCACAATTGCACCGTCGCGATAAACCACTGTTTTACAGTTCTCGCAAACGATCTAAACGAAGTGAACATGCAATACCAGATTGAGAAAATTTGCGAAAAAATTACTAGTCAGTCCGAGAACTTAGTGAAAATGCGGGGAATTAAAATTACTGCCAGTGATCCAGTCAAGCGAAACGCTCCCGCCGACTTATCAATATCCTCAGTCTTTACTAGTGCGCTCAAGAACGGTTACTGACCTCACATCCATTATGTGAGGCGCTCTCAGGATCCATCGAAATCCCGGAGCAAATTTCTTGCAAAAAAGCAAGCGGCGCCTTTTCCGACACCTCCGTACCGGCCATAGCTTCACTGAGAGATCTGTCATCTGTAAAATTAAGTGCGTCGTCCAGTTCCGCCATTCCTTGACATAAGCCTGAAAATGAGCACGACTGAATTAGATCCTCTGACAGACTGGG